TACACAAATATATATACACAAACAAGCACATTGCTTTGGTGTCTAATGTGTTTTCAGTATTTCAAAGTGTATCACGTGAGCTTAATATGTGTTTATTTTTTTGGCAGAAGGTTCAATATTTATCCATTAGGTGAAACTAATCTGTTGTTTTAAATATTTAAAACTTTAATTGTTTGTATCAGCTTTTTAATGTAAATATAGAGAGACATATTAAAATCATTTGTAAAACTGAGGAAATTTCCATTTTATTCTTTTGAATATCCACAGGGCAAAAGTGACACAGAAGTAAAATGGATTCATGGCTTACCCTTCCAAATGACCACTCCCCCCTGCTTCAGGATTCATGAAGGCTCCACTATCAACTTATTTCCTCACTTTTGAGATGTGGACGTGCACCTTGGAGTATATTTCCACCAACACGCCAAAGCAGCATCTTCACATAAAGAGAAAAACTACTTTCTACAGATCCCTAAATCCATATAATTTTATGGCAGGCAGAATGCATTTTTCATAAGCAACACTTACTTCTTGTCTTTCAATATGTGTGAAAATATACTTTTGTGCTCATTTGCCTGGCTCCAGCTCAATCTAGCCATATCTATAAGAAAATGTGTTAAATGTGTTAATCTCCCTTCATAACATCTTTTTTCAAATGACTATGGTCTCTCTAGGAACGGAATGTACAAAAACAGTATTTAGTCCTTAATGCCTCAACTCTCTGAAACTGAATTCACTCTCCAGCTTAAATCTATGGTCTTCATTTTTCTGTGAATTTTCCTTTCTACAGTTTCTTGAATGCTGATCTCAATGGATGTTCCTGTTTTATGGAACTTTCCTACAATCGCATAAGTAATTAATGTCTGGAAAATTTATTATATCAGATTAAACCTTACCTTCTTATCTCCCCATTGTTTCAGGAACTGCTGTTTTAACACAGCATAGACTCTGAACCCCTCCGCAGCAAACATTAACATAATCACTATCACATCAATATTAACATGATAATAATATATTTCATTTACAATTGCTATTGATTTTATTGTTTACTTAGGAGCAAAAGCTGTCTGTCCTGTTTATTACTCCCTTGTAATGTGAGTGTTTCACAAATGTGCTTATATGCTGAAGGAGACTAATGAAAAACAATTCGCCATTGTGAATATGTATAAAATGGACAAATTTATGAAAAGTTTAGGGGATTTTGTATTCCATTCCAAGCAAAGCAGACTCGAGATACTCTGGAGTCGTGACTCAGGAGAAGGTAGGGGCTGACAGTTGGGAAACATGCAGTTATTAGTGTAGAAGTGTTCCTCAGCCAGAAACTGGCATTGTTAAAAACTGCCAAACAAATGAGGAAGATAGAGGAGAGAGTCCACAAAGATACAAAGGTGCAAACAAGGACAAGGATGCTTTGCACAGCTGTGGACTCAGGAGATGATCTGGGAGACAGATTTTTTCTATGCATGTATTGAACCTGCTGCTTGTGTCTGCACAGGATGAAAACCATGAAGCCACTGGCCCAGACCATCAGCACTGAACAGAAACAATCACGACATAATATAAATGCTACATAGACTTTCATGTTGCCAGTAAGTATTGCATAACAGTAGCCGTAATCTGCTTTCTGTGTGAAGTTTGCTTTGTTCCTTTTATCAGTCATATGCAGAGGGAGTATAATATTTAGCATCATATTCAAGATCCAGCAGAGGATATTGGAGGTTCCTATGTACTTAGGGGCTTTCACTTTAAGCTCTGCCCACCTGGAGTTCAAGGGGCTGATCGTGATGGCCTGGAAGACACTCAAGAGGCAGGTGGTGCTAATGGACACATCCCTGCTCACTCTGTGAACATAGAAAACAAGTTTGCATCCAAAATCATTGAGGAAATCTTTTAACCCAAAACCTGCCATTGTCTGGGGGACTCCTTTAGAAAAAATAACTAAGAGGTTACCTACAATCAGATTTTTGAGAATCAAGTCTGTGGACCTAAACTTGCTTCCTGTCAGGTAAAGGAAGAGATAAAAGTAAAGAACAGAGAAATTCCCCAGTATTCCAGCTAGAGTTTGTAATGAAAAGATCATTCCTATGGCCAAATCCCTGGTGGCCATTCTGTCCAATCCCAGGAAGTGATAGTCATCTGCTGAGCCAGAGATTCCTGAATGGGAAGATGAGGCATGAGCTACATGCATCACATCAACTGGAATTCAATATTCTCCACTTACACTCATTCCCACGTACAAATAGCTTTTTATAGTTTTTCCTCTCATTAGGTTTCCAAGAGTTGAATGTATATCATTTAAAGAGCTTTCACAATATGTATCACTCCTACAGAGGCCATATTTGTCCTACATCTTGTATTCTTCCTAACTACATGAAACAGTCAGTATTAGTATTTTTATTCAAAAGAGAAGGAGCACTGAGGCACATAAAGTTTAGTGATTTATCAAATCCAAGCTCTTTTTATGGGAACGGTGGAGATTTGAACCTGGCTGGGCTGGTACAATGGCTCTGCATTTAAACAGAGAGGTGTTCAAACAAATCTAGTTGGCAGTGTTCTTCCGAAGTATACAGATGTGTGTTGATATTTCCATACCCTGTCATTTTATTGTAGATTGGTAGTATTTTATTTTAATTTTTTCTAACAAGTTTCCATTTCTGTGTAAAGATTTATTGTGTAGACCAATAATACTTATTAACAAATATTTAAATATCTCAATAAAGTATACATGCACTTATTCTAGCATAATTCCAGGGACTTGCTCCATGACAAATTGTATTGAAAGAACGCTTTCTTGTCTTTATTTGCAATTCCAAGAGAAATACTAACTTGCTTTCATGCCAGGAATGGAATGACACCTGTCACAGGCAACACTGGAACATTCTGCCATGCCCTAAGATGTGAGACTTGAAACACCAATATGTGATGAGTTAGTGTAGAGTGAAAACTATATATTACTACTGTCAAATAATAACAAATCTGTGTATTACAGGACTTAAAAAGTGTTATCAGTAAGTCAAGATTTATAAACATTAAATCATATGAAACATAGAAAATGAATTCTCTATGATACGAAAACTTTTCATTTTATAAGTTGAAATTGTAGAGCTTGGAATTGATATGAGAATATATATATACATATATATATATATGTATTTTTTGGTAAGGAAGATTATCCCTGACCTAAAATTTGTGCCAATCTTCCTCTATTTTTTGTATATGGGACACCACAACAGCATGGACTGATGAGCAGTGTGTAAGTCTGTGCCCAGGATCTGAATCTGTGAACCGTGGGCCGCTGAAGTGGAGCACAAGAACTTAATCACTACACCACTGGGCCAGCCCTGATGTGACAATACTTTTAAACCAGAGAATAGATCACAAGATAATTTTGTGCCTGATAGCTGCTATCTGAAACCCATTTTTAAAATTACCATTTCTTTAATTACTCCCTCCCTAATTTGAAGATGCAAAATAGTATCACTGAAATCAATCATCCATGAATGTTTTCAGCAGGAAACAGTTACTGTCACCATTAAGCACTTCACACACCCAGAGCTAGAGAAAATATTTCTATTCCAGCAATTGTCATTCATATACACTGATTTTGCAAAGGATTAGATGATTTCTGTAGATTTACTTTAGTTTTTATTAATCATGGAGGTGCTATTAGCACACCTGGAGTGAACTGGAAAATGTGTTTTACGATTCCTGTAAGTCACCTGACTACAGATGTATTTCTGAACTACAGCCATTCCTCACATTAAAAATCAGGTTTCATTATCACTTGCATTAAACACCAACAATCACATTCAGTGAGGATCACACTAAATTACATTAGGAGAGATCAGAGATTGGAGTCCAAAGCAGGACCCTTCTTCACTTCTCTTTACAAGCTCAGCTCACGTCTCACAATTAAACCTCCTTCCTGTGTGGCTTTGTCACAGGACCAGGTTCAAACACAGAAGATTTCCTTTTTCCAATATCATCACTTACCCAGACTCCTGATACTCTTCCTTACTTGCAGACTCTGCCTCTCAGACTGAAATAGAAAATACTTACTTGACTCCCTCTCTTTTCCAGGATGGTAGGTTCAGTGCTGTGGTCACAACAACCTGCTTGTGTGAGAGGAAGGGAGACAGCCAGACCACTGGATATGGGTTTGTGATTCTGAGACCTCACTTCCCCTTAGAAGTGCAATTATCTTTTCACCTGCAGCTCCATTGAGAAGACTGCCTTAGGGAACTGAGAATATTTGTGAAAAACTTTTTTTCCAGTTGTTAATTACCGAAAAGCAATTATGAGTTTGTAGTTATCATCTCAAAAGCGACTATTGTGATGTTTGGGAAAGACTCTTTCTTTTCCTTGATCCCTGGAGGCAGAAAGAGAATCAATTTGAGGCAGCAGGAAATACTGAGGTCTTACACATGAGCGACTGGCAGCAATGCTCATGTGTCTCACTGGATTTTCTGCTGCCCTAAGGAGATTTTCTAACCAAAAATGATTTCCTAACTAATTTTCAGACTGCTGATCTGCTCTGTCATCTAAGTTAATAGATGAGAAATTAAACCAAAGTAACTTAGAAGAATTTTCACAGCAAAACAAATAAAAAGAACATAATGACAATAAGTTACTCTAGAAAACATTAGCCTTTCTCGTATAAATCAATGCCTATTAATTTGGTAGTCTAGGCAATCGCGACGTTTTCTAGAATCCAGTTTATGCATATTGACCTTTCTTGTCTCTCCCAATAGGAATATGAAGTCTAAAAGGAACAATATCTATGGAAAGACAGAAATTTATAGGTGTCTCTCACAAATAGAATCACTGAAATCAGATAGTTAATCAGGCTGATTCTACAATTTCTTTAACTGTCAGATAAGTTGTTGCTTCCTCAATTCACAAGAAAACAAATTTCTGTAGATATGTATAGTGACAGATGTTAACTAGACTTGTTGTGGTGATCATTTCACAATATACACAAATATCTAATCATTATGTTAAACACATGAAACTAAACTAATATGGTCTTGTATGTCAATTATACCTCAATTAAAAAAACAGTTATGAATACTTACCAGGAACCCCGCATATATTTTAATTGGATATTGGGTTTCTCCAAGAAACAAAGCCAATACTTGACCCTGGCCAACTATCTAATTCCCCCCAATTTCCAGTTCACAGATTAAAGACATAATGGTGGACAATCCCTCTCACACACACACACACACACACACACACACAGATTTACAAGTGTAAATTTGCACAGACAGATGCAAACACATATGCATACCAATGCACTCAAATATTCAGTCACATACACTAACATCTTTAAACACATTCATACTCACATACCCTTCCACACAAACTCACAATATCCTGGCTCACATTCATACACACTATGAAACACACTCAGATAAACTTACACTGTCCCAATAAGCCCCAATAAATCTTAATATGGGGTTCACGTGTAAGAATAGTGATATCTCCAGACCTCTGGATACCTGGAAAGGAGGGCACATTTAACTTACTTCACCTCCTCCTATCCCTGTCACAACCAACAAAAATGTTACCTAAAGGATGCAATATTTAAAATATGCTGTGATAATGGCCACTTCAGGTCAAGGCACATAGTGGTAAAGCTGTAGTGTTGGGGAGTGACAGTCTGTGTGTGAGACTGAGAGAGAGACAGAGAGAGAATATGTCTGACAGAGTGAGCTACATTTAAGATGCAGGCTCAAGGTATAGATAAAGGACAGAAAGCCTGGAATTTGGGGAGATAGAGAACTAGTGGGACAGAGAGGAAAGAGGTTAAGACACAAGAGTGTTGAGGTCCCTGAGTGGTTCAAGTGTGGAGTTTAAGCAGATAAGGGGCAATGTGTGCAAGGAAGTTAAGGGTAGGGAGACATTGTGTGCTGGGTGAATACATGGTTGAGGGGCATGAAAGTGAAAGAATTAATGGGGATGGGTAGAAAATGGGAGAAGGGGGTTCAGGAGCAGGAGTGGGTAAAAGGCACATGAGCCCTCATTCACTGAGAGGTTAAAGAATGTTATAGTAGAAGGGGTATAACAAGTGGGCATGCAAGTCCTGAGGATGATTAGTGACCCTAAGCAGAGAGGGAAGGTAGAAGGGGAGATGGAGGTTATAGTAGAGAACTGCGTGTAGGATTTGGAGTGTACAACATGACCCAGCCATTTTGTCCCTCTTTTGAGATAGGAGGCAAAGGATGTGACCATAGTGGGTCTGATAGGAGAGATTTTTAACTGGCACCCAGTCCTCAGTGATGGAAAGATAAGTCAGAATCCCTTATCTGTCTCTATCTATGTCTTGAAGACCTTTAGTACCTCATATTTAACAATGGAAATCTCATTTCTTTGTTCTGATATTGCTAGAATACAATACATGCTTTATTATAATACAAAACAGAGCAAGGCAGAATTGCAGTTTCAAAATTCTCTTTTTCCTTTGATTTTTTCCCTTATTAAAAACCATCTCAAGAAGTAAAGTTATAACATTTTTGTAGATATGTTGAAATTTATTTTTAAGAAAATATATTTTCCTTGGAAAACAATCACTGGTCTTATAATGTTGCAGGTGTATCTCCACCCACTGTTTTTAATAGGAGGTTAATGTAATGTTGCATTGTAAAAGGGCCCTTATAGGTGTAATTAAGGTGACGTATGTAGGTAATAAAGGGACCTAAATATAGAGATGATATCTTGGCTCATCTGAATGGGCTAGTGTAACCACATGAGGTCTTAAACTGAAAAGGAAGTTAGAGATTAAAAGCTTGAGGGTTTCTTGCCCTGAGGATGCTGTCTTTGAAAGTAGGTGGTAGGGGTATATGGAAACCTGAGGATGAAATGACTCCTGCCAATAACTGAGGGATCCAGTGTTGGAGAGAAGAACCCACTCCACTGTCATGTGGATTTTTGATATGTGAGATCCTAAACAGAGCAGCCAGCCAATCCTGCCGAACTTCTAACTTATGAACTCTGAGGATATAAATGAGTCCTGTGTTAATGGCTAAGTGTGTGGCAATTTGTTATGTCAGAAATAGAAAATGAATGCATATAGAGATGAATGCAATTATAAAAAATTTAGGAGAGCAAAGTAAAGGAAATCATTCATTACCTCGCTCCAGTTTTAGCTGTTTGTGTTATATCCTTCTTCTTATGCAATTTTAGAATAAATCTGAAATTGCATATAAAATGTACACACATACACATTTACATTGTTAACATTCTACTATTGGTTCATTATTTGCATAAATATTATTATGCAAGATATTACTGGACTTATCCAATAATTTTTCTTTCTACAGTCAGTGACCTATGAAGGAGATATTTTCATACCAAATTCTCTGAAATGTTTTATTATATTCCATGTTACCAGTGAACCACCTATATCAAAACACTTCCTCTTTGTATATTTCTAGAGTTGAATATGTCTCTCTCCTGCTATTAAACACATAATGACAAATGGATCCTTAATCATGTTAATCTGTGCTCATGTGGATTATCCACATGGTTCTGAGACATGAGATTCCTTCACCACGTGGGTCTGTAACCCCACATGCCACATCTTATATTTTTTGGTTCCTTTTTTAGTCTGGTGCTTTCTCCACATCTCCACTAATTAGATGGGGCCTCAGAAATAGTGGAGGCTTCCCAGGAGTAGGGGTTGAGAGGGAGGACTCCTTGCCTTGAAACATGGATATCCTCTATTCTGCAGATCCAGGCACGTCCCCAGAGCAATGTCATGACTCCGTCTCTCTGGGACCCCACTCAGTCCTAAGGAATCATATCTCACAGTGCTGAGCACTCCTAGGAGTCCCCACACGATGCCACATGTTAATATATCCAAAAGACTCCTGGCACATCGCACTCCCAGCCCAAGGCCCGAACAACAAACCAAACAAGATTTTTTCCTCCGAAAACCTTGGTTTCTGAGCCACGTAGGTAGAATCCAGGTGGCCTCAAGACCACAGATCTGAATCAAAGTCCAGGTCCTCCTAAGATCAGAATCTGTAGCACAAACTGTTTCTTCCAACAACTCTACACTGTCCCCTCCATTAGACCTTGATTGTTACTCCTCTGCTGTCATTCTCTTCCTTCCTATGGATGGACGGATGGATAAGACCAATCCATTAAGCATGTGCACACAGGGTGTCCAGGGCAGCTGCACAGTTATCTGAATCCAGCACATGCTTTAAGCCATCTTCCCAGAATCCAGCATAAAACTCCTGGAACTGAATGCCCAGAATGACCCAGCATGACGTTGGGGACAAAAAATTTTTCACCTATCCTTCTGGGTTCTTTTAGCTAGTCTGTTAATTAAATTGACATAAGACAAATTAATGGCAGAGAAAGAAATTTAATTAAGTACTTATGGGAGCCTCACATAGATATGATAGGGTAACAGACAGTTAGGCAACTAAGGATAATATGCCATCCTGAGCTAAGGGAAAGGGGTAGGGGTCTGGGGCTTCAGGGAGGGGAAGACAATTCATAGAAAGATGGAAAGGACAAATGTTTGGTAAATAAATATTTGTCTTACCATGCAGAGACAATGGAACACAGAGAGGACTTTGTACAAACAAGCTCTACTGAGCTCCCCCAGCTCACCACACCTACCCATACTCTTTGTAGTTATCTTTGATGACAGCTCTCTTCTTGGACCAGACCTTCTATCTAAATTCTTTTAGGCAGCTAAAAGGGAGGTAAAAAGCCCTTCCTGAGTTGGTTGGGCCTTGATTGTCTGCAGCTCAAAATAATTCACATGCCAAAGTGGCACATCTTGGGGAAGCTTGTTCTGAACCTCTTCAGTCCCACCTTTGAAAATTCCCCAAGAAGTTTCAATGTCCAGAAGTTGGGGTGGTAGATTGCTCCATCTCGCTGAACCAGTCTCTCAGTCTTCAGAATAGGTCAGTTCAGTGAAACAGTTGTGTCTCGTTTCAGGAGGTGGTGATGCAGCTAGACTCCCAAATTTATGTCTACGATGCAATCAGATATTTGAAAAGAGACATTTCTATAGCAACAATGGTTAATTATTGGAGCAGAGTGTAATCTCAGTTCTGAAGGCAGCCAGTGGAAAAGATTTCTGTATGTCCAGCTCAAAGCATCTTCAGATGCAGTGATGCAGCAAGTAGTGGCAATCTGATAGATTTTACTGGATTGCAATTTGAATATCTCTGGTGATTTTTCTGTATTCCAGGCACAAAGCTTGTCCATACGTGAGCTGTTCTGGTTACTTCTCTGAAGTTTATATCAAGTTGTCCAACTTTAACTTGCATGGTTTTTTGAAAATGGCAGTTTTAGTTCTCAAAGATTCCAAGTCAGAAAGGTGGGAGAAAATTGGAAATGTTTTTTTGGAGAATTGTAGCCAAATATTAGAAGAAACTAGAAGAATTCAAGGTCTAGTTCAAGATACAGATACAAAACAAAACCCCAAAGACAATTAACAAAACTAGAATTTAATCTCCACAAGTGTGTATTATAGTTTCTACTGAAACATAATTTTTCACTCTACAATCACCCTCATTTTCATCAAAGATAACCACAGTAAGATTCGTTTTTTGCTAATTAAGTCTAGTTTCAATAAACTTGGTTTTATTATTTATATAAGTGCAGCAAGAATGGTGATTGACCATATGGAATCATTTAATCTGCTTTTCCAGAACTTTTCATAAAGAATCTCAAATTAGACTTTTAAAATCCTCTAAGAAGCCAAGTCAAGGGTTTTCCATGGAACTTTGCTAGAAATATCTATAGATTTGGGTGAATTTTTCTGTTCTTGAGATCTCCAAAATATCTGGAGGTTCCTGCGCCTGCCAAGAAGTGGCCTTACTTATGCACTTGGTAAGGCTGCTGGGAATCCTGCTTAGTGAATCCTAAGCAAGCAGCAAGGCCAATATTTCCAAAGGGATTTATTGGCTTTGTGAAGTCAACCTTAGTTCCTTAAGGCTGTCTGGTTATATCTGAATTTATGCATGCCTCTCTCAAATCTGACATTCCAGTGAAAGTCTCGGTAAAATCACCAATGTTTCTATTTGGACCCTGTTACTAGGAGAACAGATTCTTATTGAACTTATGCAAATAACTATTTCCATGAAAATAAGAATACTCACTGAGAGTTTTTGAATTCTGGAGTGAACAGGAAGGGTGAAAATGATATGTGTTCATCTTTGTTCACAAGTGTATCCTACAAAATTGCTGGTAGCTCAAGAGAAAAGAGAAAAAGGTTTCCTTAAATCTGGAAAAAACAAAACATTAAAGAACTAGCAATGTTTCAAACAAGAAGTCACAAAAGTTATAATTTTGCTCTTCTGTTCATTCAGTCCAATGTAATTAATATTTGTTCTACTTGAATGCAGTTTTTCCATTAGTTCTGAGAGTTCTTACCCAATTCAGTTTTATGATCTTAAAACTATTGAAAACCTATATAGGCACACCTCATTTTACATGCTTCATTTTATCACGCTTCACAGATATCACGTTTTTTACGAGACCCTCCACCAGCAAAAAGATTATGACTCGTTGAAGGCTCAGATGAAGGTTAGCATTTTTTAGCAGTAAAGTGTGTTTCTAATTAAGGTATGAATATTTGTTTTTTAGACATAATACTATTGCACACTTCATAGACTGCAGTAAAGCAGAAACATAAGTTTTATATGCACTGGGAAATCAAAAATTTGTGTGACCCGATTTATTGCATTTTTCACTTTATTACAGTGGTCTGGAACTGAACTGCAATATCTCCAAGTTATACTTGTATTTTTCAAAAATTTTTCCAATGAATCTTCTTGTACATGAAGTACTTTTGCAGCAACATCTTTGCAAAGCATTAAAGAAAAACAATGACTATAAATGACAAGACTTAAAAATGGCCGTGGTTCTGGCCAGCCCCATGGCTTAACAGTTAAGTGCGCGCGCTCCACTACTGGCAGCCTGAGTTCGGATCCCAGGTGCACACCAACGCAGCGCTTCTCCGGCCATGCTGAGGCTGCGTCCCACATACAGCAACTAGAAGGATGTGCAACTATGACATACAACTATCTACAGGGCTTTGGGGAAAAAAAAAGGAGGAGGATTGGCAATAGGTGTTAGCTTAGAGCCGGTCTTCCTCAGCAAAAAGAGGAGGATTAGCATGGATGTTAGCTCGGGGCTGATCTTCCTCACACACACACACACACACACACACACACACGCACACACAAAATGGCCATGCTTCAAGATCTGATGAGAGTTTATTATAATGAAATTGACAGAGAAATTTGCTTACTTCTTTGGCATATATTTTATGATAATAACTAGAATTGTGACTGATAACATTATATCAGGATATATCGGATTTCCAGGAATCTCATGTAGTCTCTGAAGCATACATAACATATACTGGTTGTAGTTAATTTTGGCAGAAGCATGTTTGCCATAGACATCTTTGCCATCATCATTTTTGCCACATAACTAATTGGTCATGAGGCAATTTTGCCATAAAAGATAAAATCATGAAAGATAAAAGAGAGGCATTAATTTCAAAGGATATAATAAAACATTAATGAAGAATAATAGGATTAAAAAGACTGTCATCAAATAGAAAATATTTGAATACATTTAAAATGTGTTGGAATGACATCAGCATCGTGGTGGAGTGAGCTTCCCCCTTTGAATCTCCCCCTCTAAGACATAACAAAAAGGACATTCATGTTCCAACAGAAGGTATTCACACAACACAAGGGACGTCTGAGGCACCCGCACAGCCATACACCTGAGGGCTGAGGTGCTGGAATTCCCAGAGGAAGTGGAAGGGTGTAAGAGGAGATCCCTTGCCTCCTCAAGGACTGCGACCCTGAGACTGAGACCACGTGGCTCTCAGAGAGGGTGGTGGGGCAGACCTCCATGGGAAAAGCTGTGCTCTCCAAGATCCCTCACAGCCCATAGGGAATCTCCTCACAGAGGGAGCAGAACTGTTGCAAGGGTACTTTCAGCACGCTAGCCTTTTAGGTGAGCAGAGAGCTACAGTGAAATGAGAAACCCCAGGGATTGGGGAGGTGAAAGTAAGTGCCCCTCCACCCCCGCCTTGCCAGTGCTTCAGTACAGCGTCCCTGCAGGCTCAGCTCAGGGGTGCTTCAGCTTGACCCCAGCTCCAGCACCAGTGGTGGTGGCATGCCCACGCCAGGCCCCAGAGGCGGTGGCTCCCTGGAGCCGCAGCACTAGCGGTGACGGTGTGCCCACACCCTGGCCCCAGAAGCAGTGGCTCCTGGGTGCCTGGGCAGTGCAGGTGGCAGCACGCCCAGGCCCCAGCCTTAGTAGCAGCGAACCCCCAGCAACCCCTGCCCCACCAGTGGTGGTGGCATGCCTGTGCCCTGGCACCAGAGGCGGTGGCAGCCAGAGTTCTGGCACCAGCAGTGGCAGTGTGCCCATGCCCTGGCCCTAGCAACAACGACCCCCCAGTCCCCAAGCCTCACCAGCAGTGGCAGGGCACCCACAACCTGGCACCAGAGGCGGCAGCTACCTAGAGCCTTGGCTCCAGTGGTGGCTGTGTGCCCAGGCCCCGGACACAGAGGCGGTGCCCGCCCAGAACCTGGGTACCAGTGGTGGCAGTGTGCCCAGAGCCCAGCAGCAGTGGCAGTGCATCTGTGCCACAGAACCAGAGGCGGTGGCCCCCCCGGCACCCAGGCACCAGCAGTGGTGGTGCACCCATGCCACAGCAGCAGCAGCGTGCCTGTACCCCAATACCAGAGGCAGTGGCTCCCCAGAGCCCTTGCCCCAGCGGTGGCAGCACACATGCACTCTGGCCCCAGCGGCTCTAGTGTGCCTGTGCCCCGGCCCCAGTGGCTCAGGCCTGACAGCACCCCAGCCCCAGCTGTCCTGGCTTGACTGTGCCACAGCCCCAGCTACATTGGATTGACCATGTCCCAGCCACAGCTGCATCGGCTCAACTGTGCCCTGGCCACAGCTCCTTTGGCTCAACCGTGCCCCAACCCCAGCTGCTTTGGCTTGGCCACACTTAGGCTCCAGCTGACTTGGCACCAGCTAATTCTGCCCAGCTGTGCTCCGGTTCCAGCTTCTTCAGTCCACCAGAGCTCCAGCTCCTGCTTCTGCAGCTCAGCGGCACTTCAACTGCAGCTACCTCAACCCAGCCATGCTCCAGCTTCAGTGGTTCCCATGCTTCAGCTCCAGCTGCTTCCACTGAGCTGGGCTGAAGCTCAGCCCTCCAGCCCCAGATTCTTTGGCCCACCTGCACCTGAGCCCCAGCTGCTTTGGCCTAGCCATGCTCCAGTCCCAGCTGTTCCCACGCTCCAACTCCAGCTGTTGCGACGCTCCAGCCCCAGCAGCCTGCACTCAGCCGTGCTTCAGCTCAGCCATGGTTAAGCTCAGCCATACCCCAGCTCAGCTGTGGGCCAACCAGAGTGCCCACAGATCAAGGTGGACACAGAATAGACAGCTCTTGACCCCTACCCAGTGGTGGCAAGAGGAAACTGTGACCAGATATTTTCACTATGAGGAAAAATACACCAACACTGACAGGCACTTTGCAAAAATATATTTAAAACTCCAGACCAAAAGGAAAATGACAAACCCCCAGAAATCAACCCTGAAAGTACAAAAATATATAACCTTAATGACAGAGAATTCAAAATAGCTATCATAAAAAAGCTCAATGAAATACAAGGAAACACAGACAGACACTTCAATTAAATCAGGAATTTCTTCACAAAAGAGATTGAAACTATAAAGAAAAACCAATCAGAAATCTTAGAGATGAAAAACACAATAGAGGAGATAAAGACAACTCTGGAAGCCTTAAGCATCAGAGCTGACAATGTGGAGGAAAGAATTAGCAATGTTGAGGACAGCAATGCAGAAATGCTCTCAATGGAGGAGGACAGAGAACTAAGACTAAAAGGAAATGAGGAAACTCTCTGAGAAATATCCAACTCAATTAGGAAATCCAATATAAGGATTATAGGTATTCCAGAGGGAGAAGAGAGGGAAAAAGGAGCAGAGAACTTGTTCAAAGAAATAACAGCTGAGAACTTCCCAAACCTGGGGAAGGAGCTAAAAATACCAGTGAATGAAATCAATAGATCTCCTAAATATATCAACATGAAAAGACCCTCTCCAAGGTATATAGTAGCAAAGCTGGCAAAAGTCAATGACAAAGAAAAAGGTATTAAGGGCAGCTAAAAAAAAAAAAGTATGAAGGAATTTCTATCATGCTCTCAGTCAATTTCTCAAGAGAAACTTACAGGTGAAGAGAGAGGGGAACGACATATGCAAAATTCTGAAAGACAAAAACTTTCAGCCAAGAATACTCTATCCAGGGAAAATTTCCTTCAGATATGATGGAGAAATAATAACTATCCCTGATAAACAAAAGCTAAGGGAGTTCGTTGCCACTAGACCCCCACTACAAGAAATGCTCAAGAAGGCCCTCATGCCTGAGAAAAAAAAGAGAAAAGGGATACAAAGTTTTGAACAAGAAGGAAAATAGTTTGACAAAACCAGAGAAATTGCAGCTCTCTATCAGAATAGATTAGCAAACAGTTAATTATAAAACCAAAGATGAAGGGAAGGAAAACGCCAAAAGTACATGTAACCTCATCACTTTAAACACAAACTCACAACAGAAGATGGAATAAGATATGACAACAATTACTTAGAAGGGGAATAGGAAAGAGATCAAATCGACTTAGTTTAAGGGAATAAGAGGCCAGCAAAAACTGGATTATCACATCCACGAGATTTTTTATACAAAGCTCATGGTAACCACTAACCAAATAATCAGAACAGAGTCACACATGGATAATAAAGAGAAAACTAAGAGAACTTTCATACAGAACTACCAAATTGGTAGTCCAAAACACACAGGATGAGAAACAAAAGAAATGCAAAAGAACCAGAAAATGAGCCATAAAATAGCAACATTAAGCCCTCATATATCAACAATCACTCTAAATGTAAGTAGACTGAACTCTCCAATCAAAAGACACAGAGTGGTGAGATGGATTAAAAAACAAGACCCAACAATATGCTGCCTCCAGGAAACACATCTCAGCTCTAAAGACAGAGTGAAAGGATGAAAGAAGATACTCCAAGCTAATGGCAAACAAAAGAAAGCAGGTGTTGCCATACTTATATCAGACAAAGTTGACTTCAAGATAAAACAGGTAATGAGAGACAAAGAGGGGTAATATATAATCATGAAAGAGACACTCCACCAAGAAGATATATCACTTATAAATATATATGCACCCAACACAGGAGCACCAAAGTACAGGAAGCAACTATCAACAAACCTAAAAGGAGATATTAACAACAGCACAATTATATTAGGGGATCTTCACATCCCACTTACATCAATAGATAGATCATTCAGACAGAAAGTCAATAAGGAAATAGTGGACTTAAACGAAAAACTTGACAAGATGGACTTAATAGATCTATATAGAGCACTCCGTCCAAACACAGCAGATTACACATTCTTCTCAAGCACACATGGAACATTCTCAAGAATAGACCACATGCTGGGACACAAGACATGCCTCAATAAATTTAAGAAGATTGACATCATAACAAGCATCTTTTCTGACCGTAACACCATGAAGCTAGAAATCAACTACAAGAAAAAAACCAGGCAGTGACAAAGATGTGGAGATTAAACAACATGTTACTGAACAACCAATGGATCATTGATGAAATTAAAGGAGAAATCAAAAACTATCTGGAAACAAATGAAAATGATAATATGCCATATCGAACCATATGGGATGCAGCAAAAGCGGTCCTGAGAGGGAAACTCATAGCAGTACAGGCCCACCTTAACAAACAAGACAAAGCCCAAATAAGAGACCTCAAACTATACCTAACATAATTAGAAAAAGAAGAACAAACAAAGCCCCAAGTCAGCAGAAGGAGGGAAATAAAAGTCAGAGCAGAAATAAATGAAATTGAAAATAAAAAAACAGTGGAAAGGGTCAATGAAACAAAGAGATGGTTCTTTGAGAAGATAAACAAAATTGAAAAACCCTTAGCCAGACTCACCAGGAAAAAAAGAGAGAAGACTCAAATAAAAAAGATTAGAAACGAAAAAGGAGAAATTACAATGGATACCACAGAAATGCAGTAGATTATGAGAATAATATGAAAAACTATATGCTGACAAATTGGACAATCTAGAAGAAATAGATAAATTCTTAGAGTCGTACAACCTCCCAAAACTGAATTAAGACGAAACAGAGAATCTAAATTGACCAATCACAAGTAAAGAGATTGAAACAGTAATCAAAAACTTCCCATAAAATAAAAGTCCAGGACCAGATGGCTTCTTTGGAGAATTTAACCAGACATTCAAAGAAGACTTAATACCTATCCTTCTCAAACTATTCCAAAAAACAGAGGAAGATGGAACACTTCCCAATGCATTTTACGAGGCCAACATCACCCTGACTCCAAAGCAAGACAAAGACAATACTAAGAAGGAAAACTACAGACCAATATCCCTGATGAACATAGATGCAAAAATCCTCAACAAAATATTGACAAACCAAATACAGCAATACAATAAAAAGATCATACACCATGATCAAGTGGGATTTATACCAGGGACACAAGGATGGTTCAACATCCGCAAGTCAATCAATGTGATGTGCCACATTAACAGAATGAGGAATAAAAACCATATGACCATCTTAATAGATGCAGAGAAGTCATTTGACAAGATCCAACATCCATTTATGATAAAAACTGTCAAAAAATGGATATAGAAGGAAAGTACCTTAACATAATAAAGGGCATATATGACAAACCCTCAGCCAACATCATACTCAATGGAGAAAAACTGAAAGCCATCCCTCTGAAAACAGGAACAAGACATGGGTGCCCACTCCCACCACTCTTATTCAGCATAGTAGTGGAGGTTCTGGCCAGAGCACTTAGGCAAGAAAAAGGAATAAAAGGAATACAAATAGGCAATGAAGAAGTGAAACTCTCCCTGTTTGCAGATGATATGATCTTATAGGTAGAAAACCCTAAAGACTCCATTGAAAAACTATTAGAAATAATCAACAACTACAGCAAAGTTGCAGGGTACAAACAAACTAACAGAAAGAGAACTCAAGAAGACAATCCCTTTTACAATTACAACAACAACAAAAAATAAAATATCTAGGAATAAATTTAACCAATGAAGTGAAAATCCTATACAATGAAAGCTGTAAGACATTATTGAGTGAAATCAATGATGACATAAAGAAATGGAAAAATATTCCATGCACATAGATTGGAAGAATAAAGATAGTTAAAATGTCCATACTACCTAAAGCAATCTACAGACTCAATGCAATCCCAATCAGAATTCCAAGGATATTCTTCATGGAAATAGAATAAAAAATACTAAAATTCATATGGGGCAACAAAGACTCCAAATCGCTAAAGCAATCCTGAGAAAAAGGAACAAAACTGAGGCATCACAAGCCCTGACTTCAAAACATACTGCAAAGTGATGGTAATCAAAGCAGCATGATGCTGCTACAAACTTAGAATGGCTATAATCACCAAGACAAAAAACAACAAATGCTGGAGAGGGTGTGGAGAAACGGGTACCCTAATTCACCGCTGGTGGGAATGCAAATTGGTGCAGCCTCTATGGAAATCAGTATGGAGATTCATCAAAAAATTCAAAATAGTAATACTTTATGATCCAGCTATCCCACTACTGGGTGTCTACCCAATGAACCTGAAATCAACAATCCAAAGAGGCTTATGCACCCCTATGTTCATTGCTGTATTATTCACTACAGCAAAGACATGGAAGCAACCCAAGTGTCTCTCAACTGATGAGTGGATAAAGAAGATGTGGTATACACAATGGAATACTACTCACCCATAAAAAAGGCAAAATCATCCCATTTATCACAACATGGATGGACCTGGAGGGTATTATGTTAAGAAAAATAAGCCAGAAAGAGAAAGACAAACACCACATGATATCACTCATATGTGAAAGATAAACGAACACACGGACAGAGAGAACTGTTTGGTGGTTGCCAGGGGCAAGATGGGTGGGTGATGGGCACAAGGTTGAAGGGATGCATTTATGTGGTGACTGACAAACAAGGATGTAAACAAAAATTTCACAATTAAAAAACAAATAAATAAATAAATAAATAAAATGTGTTTATGTAGATTCATGGCAGTAGTGCACCAACAACTGATTTTATTTTGTGTGTTTGCGAATTGTACCTAACTAAGCACTTGTCTTTGTTCTGTGGAAAATGTGGTTTCAACCCTGCAACCTCCAAGAATAGGCCTTCAACTCTCTTGCTCCTCCCATGTAGTGTGTTTCAAAATAAGAAATCAACTCTTGGGGCAAATCATCATCATCCGTCAGCTTGATAAAGCCATCAATAAAACATTTCTAACTGGAAGACATGCTATCTATTTTAAAACCACTGTCACCACCATCACCACCACCACCGTGTTTACTTGTTACTCTCTAGACCATTATGAAAGCTAGCTAAGATTTATATCGTATAAAAATGGGAGTAACTGCAAGAACTTCATCACTGGAGAAATAAGACCAAAATGGCAGGAAAAAAAAAGCTGTCAACCAGTTATTTTTATCTTTTATGGAGGTTGATTTTTCAATGGAGAAATAAAACCAGAAAATAACAAGAAAGAAACCCAATCTGTCAGTCAGTAATTGTTTTTATTTTTTTTATAGCAAAATTGCCTTACAGCCAATTAGATATGCCTCAAAAGTGCTTGTAGGAGAGATGTCTACGGCAAAGATGCTTACAGCAAAAACATCAGACACAACATATACCTATACAAGTACACCATAAAGAAGGCTTAATATTTGCTTCTTATTCCACAATGCTTCCCATACAATTTAACATATCAAATGTACTGAATTAGCTTAATGTCTCTGTTTTTATAAGGAGAGAGAACAAATCTTTTGAGATGTTCCAAGGGCTCTCTGCAAAATCTCAAGGTTAGTTAAAGGTCAAAAAAACTTTATTTAGAATTTTGATTTTCGGAAGTTTGTCAAAAATATCAAAAAGATTTTAAAACCCTTGGTCAAATAGGATCATAAGTCACTGTGAAATAATACTTAGTTATCCATTTAACCATAGTAACAGTTAAAGATTTCACAGCAATATAGAAAGTTACGGAGCAGGCCAGCCCCGTGGCTTAGTGGTTAAGTGCGCGCGCTCCGCCGCTGGCGGGCCCGGGGTTCGGATCCCGGGCGGGCACCGATGCACCGCTTCTCTAGCCATGCTGAGGCTGTGTCTCACATACAGCAACTAGAAGGATGTGCAACTATGACATACAACTATCTACTGGGGTTTTGGGGAAAAAAAGGAGGAAGATTGGCAATAGATGTTAGTGCAGAGCCGGTCTTCCTCAGCAAAGAGAGGAGGATTGGCATGGATGTTAGCTCAGGGCTGATCTTCCTCACAAAAAAAAAAAAAAATGAAAGTTACAGAGTTCTTTTACTTAGCTCCTTTACTATCAAGAGTTCTAGTCATCAAAGACCTGATGAAGACAACATGGAACATAGGTGATTATTTTGACAAGACACAAGATCTTTGTTTTTTCTAGGCAGATTACTTCAAAGGTAAAGAAAAACCTTTCACAATCTCTTATCAGGAACAGACCAATAGTCCAAGAAAACTTTGTCTGTATATCAGATGAAAGGAAATTGTTTTA